GAGGATTGCTTGAGCCCAGGATTTCAAAACCAGCCTGGGCATTGGGGCAACATAGTGAGACCCTATTTTAAAAAAAGAAAAAAGAAAGAAAAATGAAAATTGTGCATGTGTGTGGTGGGGGGTGCGTGGATAAATTGATAGAGTGTTTTTAACAGGTGGAAGTGTAGATACTGTTTACTTTTTTTTTTTTTTCCTTAGAGACAGGGTCTTGCTCTATTGCCTAGTCTGGAGTGCAGTGGCACGATCATGGCTCACTGCAGTCTCAAACTGTTCCACCCTCCTCAGCCTCTAGGGAGTAGCTAGGACTACAGGTGTGTGCCACCATGCCCAGACACATTTTTTAATTTTTTGTAGAGATGGAGCCTGCTATGTTTCCCAGGCTCGTGTCAAACTCCTGGTCTCAAGTGATCCTCCCGCCTTGGCCTCCCAAAGCAATGGGATTACAGGTGTAAGCCACTATGCCCAGCCCCTATTTTGCTTTTTACAAATGACAACAAAAAATAAAAGCAAATAAATGTCAGTCTTTAGAGCTGAGTTGTCTGTTTTGCATCAATAGAAAAGAAACTCCTCCCACAACCACACCTTATGAAAGAAAGAAAGAAAGAAAGAAAGAAAGAAAGAAAGAAAGAAAGAAAGAAAGAAAGAAAGAAAGAAAGAAAGAAAGAAAGAAAGAAAGACAGATCTCCTTAGGGACTAACCTGGAGTTGTGACAGTTGTGGCTCAAAGCATTGCTTTCTGAGCTAGGAATGAACTGCAATCACTGCCATTCACTAGTGAGGCAATGGTCCGGCTGCCTGACGCTCTCCCTCTGCCGCCCCCACCCTGAGCTCCAAGTCACTTCCTCTATCATGATGTTTGCATTGGACGTCTCTGCCATCATCCTCCAGCAAATCATGCAATGAGGGTTCACAGAACGGACTGTGTGAGCTCAAAAGAATCTTGCCCATTCATTTTCTCAGCAAATACTCAGCTTCTATTTCACCCTGGACCCTTGCTAAGCAACTGAGGATACAGCAGTGAGGCAGATATAGTCCCTGTCCTCTTGAAGTTTACAATCTAGTAGATGAGACTGAAAAATAAATGGGTCGTTCCGGTAGCATACAATACACCCTGACAGGAGCACATTGGAGGGGGCACATAGCTAGACTGGGACCAGAGGGTCTGGGGGAGAGTGACAGGGCAGGATTCCAGAAGAGTTTAGATGTCTAGCTTGGATGTCATCTAAGAACAAGTAAGAGAGAACTAGATGAGGAGCAAGTAGGAACAATATTAGAAAGGATAGGTGATGGCAGCCTTGACACCGTGAGGCTGCAGGCAGTTTAGTAGGCCTGCAATGCAGGATGCTGGAGGCAGGAGAGAGGAGAAAGGAGAGACATGATGCTCCACAGGAAAGGAGGGCCAACTCACAAACGTTGCTTTATAACAGCCACGGTGAGAATTTGGTCTGCATCCAAAAGTCCATGGAAAGCCATTGGAGAGTTTTAAGCAGCCGGCTAACGAGACTGAGTTTGCTTGGACAGACCACATTGACTACAAGATTTAGAGGGGTGTGGTAAGCAGAAATATGACCCCCCAAAGATGACCACATCCTAATCCCTGGAACCTATGAATATGCTACTTTACACGGCAAAGGAGATGTTGCAGGTGTTGTTAAGGATTTTGAGAGGAGGTGTTTATCCTGGATTAACTAGATTGGCCCAATGTAATCACAAATGTCCTTTAAAGTGGAAGGTGGGGACAGAAGAGAGAGCCAAAGGAGATTTTACTGCGCTAGAGTGGTCAGGGAGATATCACATTGTTAACTTTGAAGATGGAGGAAGAGAGCCACAAGCCAAAGAATGCAGAAAGCATCCAGAAGAGAGAAAAGGAAAGGAAATAGACTCTTCCCTAGAGCCTCAGGAAAGGGATGCAGCCCTGCTCACGTCTTGATTTTAGCCCGGTGTCTTTCGGACTTCTTACCTACTGAGCTAGAAGTAACAAATTTGTATTGGGTTTGTTTGTTTGTTTGTTTTTTGAGACAGAGTCTCGCTCTGTCACCAGGCTGGAGTACAGTGGCGCGATCTCGGCTCACTGAAACCTCTGCCTCCCGGGTTCAAGCAATTTTCCTGCCTCAGCCTCCCGAGTAGCTGGGATTACAGATGCCCGCCACCATGCCCAGCTGATTTTTGTATATTTAGTAGAGACGAGGTTTCAACATGTTGGCCAGGATGATCTTGATCTCTTGACCTTGTGATCCACCTGCCTTGGCCTCCCAAAGTGCCGGGATTATAGGTGTGAGCCACCACGCCTGGCCAGAAATTTGTATTGTTTTAAGCCACTAATTTTGTAGTAATTTCTTATAGGAGTAACAGAAAATGGATACAGATTATGTTATTGCTGTAACAAATACCTAAACATGTAGAAGTGACTTTGGAACTGAACTTCGGGAAGAGGCACGAAAAATAATGAGGAGCATGATGGGAAAAGCCTGTATGGCCTTGAATAGACTGCCAGGAGAAATGTAGATGCTAACAGCTTGGACAGGGAGGACTCCGAAATCAGTGAGGAGCAGAGTCAAGAAAATATGAACCAATTTAGAGAACATGAACAGGCTTGGAAGAAATATGGCTGTTAAAGGTGCTGTGGGTGATGGCTGAGAAGGAAGTGGGGAATATTTTGGGGGAAACTGGAGGAAAGGGGATCCTTGGTACATAGTGACAAAAAGCTTAGCCAATGCCTTGAAGTTATATGAAACACAGAACTTATAAACAATGGACTTGAGGCTGGGCACGGTGGCTCACGCCTGTAATCCCAGCACTTTGGCAGGCCGAGGCGAGCGGATCACCTAAGGTCAGGAGCTCAAGACTAACCTGGCCAACATGGTGAAATCACATCTCCACTAAAAATACAAAATTAGCCGGGCATGGTGGCAGACACCTGTAGTTCCAGCTACTAGGGAGGCTGAGGCAGGAGAATTGCTTGAACCCAGAAGGCAGAGGTTGCAGTGAGCCGAGATTGTGCCACTGTACTCCAACCTGGGCGACAAAGTGGGGCCCTGTCTCAAAAACAAAACAAAAGAAAACAACAACAACAAAAAAAAAGTGAAATTGGGTAGTTAGCTAAGGAGATTTCCAGGCAGTGTTGAAGCATGTGGTCTGGTTTCTTCTTGCTGCTTACAGTAAAATGTGAGAGGAAATAGATAATTTGAGAGTAATGTTCAACAGAAAATGAACCAGAACTCGATGATTGGGGGAATTCTCAGCCTATTCAGATTGCAAAAGATGTTAAAAAGATGAAATTCACTGTCAGGAAAGTGTGCTTTAGAGAAAAAGCCAAGGACATGGCTGGACAACCTCAGAAAGATCAAAAGATCAGAGTACCATGCCTGTAATCCCAGCACTTTGGGAGGTTGAGATGGGAGGATTGCTTGAGCCCAGGAGCTCAAGATCAGCCTGGGGAAACATAGGGAGGCCTCAACTCTACGGAAAACAACAACAACAACAACAAAATTAGCTGGGTAGGTGGTGCATACCTGTAGTCTCAGCTATTTGGGAGGCTGAGGTGGGAGGATTGTTTGAGCCTGGAGAGTCAAGGGTGCAGTGAACTGTGATTGCACTACTGACTTCCATCCTGGGCAACAGAGCAAGACCCTATAAAAAAAAAAAAAAAAAGTTCAGAGTATTCTGTCACATAAGAGGTTTTTTGAAGCAATTAAGTGTGAGACTCATATATCCCCTCAGCTACCTCAACAGAAGACAGAAATAGAAATGGGCTTATCAAGTGAAGATCTGCAAAGGAGCATTTTGTCTAATGGAGTGACATATATGAGAGACCCACAGGGTTCTTGAGAATTTTATACCAGCAGAAACACTGGAGCTTGGACTGAACGGGATAGAGAGGGTATGAAATGAAAGAAAGCTATAAGATCCCCCAAATTCTACAGGCAGGAAACAAGTTGATAAAACCACCCAGCTGCAACCATGTGCTGAATCTTTCATGAAAAAGGAAGAATGGGCTGGGCGCGGTGGCTCAAGCCTGTAATCCCAGCACTTTGGGAGGCCGAGATGGGCGGATCACGAGGTCAGGAGATCGAGACCATCCT